AATAGGAATGCGAATGGAATGGATGCCGTAATCCAAACCAATCCGGATTCCGGTGGATTTCCTTCACGATGCGGATTCGATGCGAACGAGAAAAGGGAAAGAAATTGGGGCCGCAATGCCCCGTGTCGTGAAAAAGTTCAGCGATTTTCAGCGTCACTGTTCCAATTTTTTCGTGTTCTTCACGTTACTTCTATCAGTTTGAGCTCTAACGCCGTCGAACTGTAGATATGAAAAGACGAAAATACCCATAAGTTTAAATATGCTATTAATTTTTTTGAGCATCTTAACGACTTCAAATGAAAAAACTCAAAACTAGAAAGTTGTAGATCTCGTCGAGATCTATAATTTTTATATAAAAATTATTTTTCATTTAATTTCGCAAAAAAATAATATAATTTTTCTAAGATATATTAATCATATCAAATAATATTTTTTCGGAATTAAATGAAAATAATTTTTATGCTATTAATTTTTCTAAGATATATTAATCATATTAAATAATATTTTGAAGTCGTTAAGATGCTAAAAAAAATTAATGACATATTTAGACTTAATGATATTTTTGTCTTTTCACACCTGCAGTTTAACGGCGTTAGAGCCTAAACTGACAGAAGTGGCATGGAGGACACGAAAAAGTTAGAGCAGTGGCGCTGAAGACCGCTGAACTTTTTTAAGAACGCCCATAGAAAATTACGACCTTTTATAATGGCACAGGAAATTCTGTCGAAGAAATTCTGGGGGCGTCATCGACTCGTTGGTTGCGCACTTGCGCATGCGCTCCGTGTCCTGGGACTCCTCGGTGAATGGGCCCTTGACGTTGTCGAGGTCCAGCCAATTCTGTCTACGGGCTGGAGAGCGATGCAGGAAAGATCATAATGAAAGCCCACATAATACTTGGGCCAACCGTAGATTTTGTTGGACCTCGGTTGTTTTCCGCAACAAAATGGTCAACCCAGGCTAGTTCCACGGGGTGGGCCTGCCAATGAAGTTCGGTAAGTGATCAGATCGAGTTCGTTTAATTAATCAATTAATCTGGAAGAAGAATAAAAGATTAATGAAGACTTCAGTAGTATACAAGAGATCAGACAAGGTCAAGAAGCTCTCGTCGCATGCAGGTTACGTTTAGCATGGGGCTCGCCGATAATTGAGGCAAGCAATGACGCCGAATATCAATACCATAACATAACATAATCGAGTCGACGCCCCCAACAGCAACAGTCGACACGGAACGTGCGGGTATTCATAACATAACATGCTACGCTAAGCATTAACTAATCTGCGAGCAAGCAGCCGCGGCAGGGCAGTGCATGTACTCCGTAAGCCACAACGGACCGGCCGTTAATCCCTGACAGCGGCGCGGCTTTCCTTCCCCTCAATGCTGATTATTATATTAGGTTGGTGAGGTGCTCTGATTCGATGACCCCACAATACCGAGCAACTGCAAGGGGCTCCGCGTAAAACGTCGTAACGGACTCCCGCCATCCAACGCCCGGGCCCCCTCCTTTCCCGCCACCAGCGTCGCGATCCGACGGCCCCGATCGGTCGTCGCTGGGCGCGACTACGGCCTACGGGGACCGCCCGCCTGCTCGGGGTCCGGGATAAGCGGCACCGGCCTTCTTCTGGCTGCTGCCTGGGCCCCGCCCCCGAGCTGGTCGCCTCGTGCTCCTGGGGATCCCCCGCTCAGGATCCTCTGCGCCCACGACGGGGATCATGGCGGCCACAGAGTGGGTTGCTGCGCCGGATCCGGACGCGAGAGGGGCGCATGCAGGCGCACAGATTGCTCAGGCATGTTGATTTTTACTGCTCTGCCAATGCCATGCATGGTCACTGTCACTGGTGTGCTCGACTTTGGCGTGATGGCGTGCCAATCCCAACGGATTTGTCACGCAGTAAGGACTCGTTTGGTGTACGTGTCTCAAATACATACTTGATGAAACGGATTGTAGTAAAAATTAAACCAAGTTCCGTTACAATTCACTTCAGTACTTCAATTATTCACCACAAAAATGTTACTAACTTTCTTCCCAAAATGGGCTGTGTCCAGTTTTGTACTGTGTTAAACTTATGTATGAGTAAATTCTTCTATCTAGTCTATCAACAGTATATTAGAGTCTACAATATCAAATAAGTTGTTTCATGACTAAGCTTAAACAAGTGTGGCGTGTTACACTATTTCGTGGCGAATAATTTGAGCACCACAGTTGTGAGAATGTGGTTAAAAGATGAGTCTATGGCATCGGATGGACATGGTGCTAAAAAAATATGGCATGCCACAATGAAATTGTGGTTGGCAACCCTAGTCTTGAACCAAAAATGCCTATGTAATGATGTAGGTGTTGGCACATTTGTATATGAAGTTTTGTAAAAAAAATTGAGAATCTTCACTCATATGAGAAAACAACTAAAATAACTTTTACTCTGAAATGAAGGTAGTGTTGAGGATTCCTTTTCCATGTAGTTTAGGCACACATGGTCTACTCTTATTTTTTAATTGATTTTTATATGCGTGCAAGAATTAGACGCCGAGGGGGTTAAAACAAATACAATCAAATGGTGGAGGAGGATGTCACATCTTCATCCAATTCCAATTCAGTTATAAGACATATACAATCAGAACAATGACTAATGCATGTCAGGAATTTGGATACAATCACTATATGTACATTAATTAAAGCCAAATTCTCTAAAGTGACACCCCTTTTTTTATGCCTCTAAAGTAACATTTCTAGTATTTCATATCAGTAGCCCCCATATCATTTAAGATCAATAGGAGGATAGCAATAATGTTAAGGTTATGCAAGTGGAAATAGTATGAATCAACAAAATCAAAACACATAGTACAACGTACAAAAGGGGGAATTTGTTGAATTTTCCTTTTCTACCTATGGTCCTTCCTGCCTTGTGAACCAGGAAACAAGAAAGAAAGATGCACGTTGTGCAGTGTGGCCCTAGCAAAAGGAGAGATGCGATACCCCCGGCCGGAGTGCCGGACCAGCGATCGCCATTCAAAGCTGCCACCCGCCCTCCCCTGCTCCCACTGCCAGCCCATAAGCCCTACCACCAGTCCACCAGGCTACCAGCAGAGAGAGAAGGCGAGCGCGCGAGGCGCGAGCAGAACAGCAACCGCCTCCGCCTCCGCCTCCCCTGCTGGGCCCGCATCGCCCTCGCCCTCGCCCTCGCCCTCGCGAGATCCCAATCCCGCCGCAGGTTCCTCACCGGAGCGACCCCCATTGCGGCTCGGGGTTGCCGGCTGGTTCCGCGGCCAGCAGTTCTCCCCCTGCTGCTGTTGCTGTGAGTCCCGCGACTCGATTCGAGCTCTGCTGCCGTGGAGGCGGCCGCCCGATCCGCGCGCATTGCGAGGGTTAGTTACTTCTCGGTATCAACCATTATTTCTCCTCCCTACGCCGATTTTGGCGTGCCTTTTCTTAGCCTTGGCGATTTGTTTGATGCGTGCATGTACTCCTCGCTCGGGGAGCGGAGATTTTGGATCTTTCCGCACTGTTCCCTTGTTGTAGCGTTAAGGTTCTTCGCGTTCTGCGTTGTTCATCATCGAGACGCTGGCTTGGGTTGCCAGCGTAGAAGATTGATGCGCGGGGCCGGGGCTCGCATTTCCTTGGAGCGGTTGGGTGGTTAGTCCTGGGACGGGAATGGGATGCCGTGTGGAGTCTGAATTAGTTCAGTGCTACAGCTGGACTCCAGTTGTTTATACTCTTGATGGGGGGCCTGTAGAGCTTGCAAATACAAATACTCGTCTACTTGCACTCTGGGGCTAGTAGGAGTAGGCTAACCAACGTATGTTTCTTTCCGAAGCATTGCTTGGTCTAAGAAGATACGATCTTATCTTTGGGTCTACGCCAATAATTGTACTAGCGTACTCGAGAAGAAAATAGCTGTACTGGCTTCGCGTGCTAACGGAGGTTCTTATAATCTTGTGTTGATAAAAAAAGGGAAACACGGAGTAAGCTCCAATTGGATGCCACATCGACGGGCTAAGCAACTCAATAGTTCCGATTTCTTGACGTGCACTTACTTATGCTCTACCAGTGTAATGTACTGCTATTTCTTTCAAGCCAAAGGTCCTTACAGCTGAAGCTGCCACGGATGACTTCCGATTTCGTTCTTGGTTTCGTAATTTGTTTGACTTTCTACATGTGGAATAAATGAGGTAGCGACGGGAAGCTGTCATGTGAGGAAATTCTGACCTTCTGTGGTGTCACTAGATGCCGCTTTCCTGTTTACAGTCACCTCTCTAGCAGTCTAGCTCTGTGCTACCAAACACTTGCGTTTTCCTAACAAACAATGGTGGCCCACTCCCAACTGTAAAGCACGGATGCTTTTCTTATTCACTGATAAAGTTGCATTCTTCCCGTCCCCTGACTGTCCTTTTTGTGAATTTCAAGAAAGCGATGCCAAAAGTGCTTGGTTCCACTCTGGTCTTAATTTCAGCTGAGTACTCGAATTTGCTGTTAAGTGGAGGCTTATATGGATTCATGCTGCATTATTTTGTCTAACACTTGCAGGATGCAGTCATTTGTTGTCCATTTGTTTGCTGCTAGAAAATCAACCCTTTGTGACCGTCTTTATGAGTGCCTATTTTTTTTTTCCTTTTCTTCTGGTGCGTATTGTTAAAGAAAGCATTTGGACATTGGTGTTCTTTTTTCTCTCTTGAGAATCCGCCTTTTGTTTCCTTGTTTTATTATCATCTCAAAGTTAAGCTCAATTGATGTTTATCATTTGCTGCACGCAAGCTGTACATGGTAGAGACAATTAGGTCATATTTTAGTGCCTATCCAGCCTGTATATCCACCTTTATATTCTTGGATTCCATTGTGCAAGCTCTGCTGTTTGGTCAATATTCTTTTCTTTATGACATGCTTTTTAGGAAAAGAAAACGTGAAATGGCAATATTTTTATCCAAATAGCATATAGAAATGGTAAATTCTGAATTTCACAATAATAGTTCTTTGTTTTGTGGACCAGGATTCAAGGGTATTTTATAGATGACAAAGGCAGCAACTCTTTATGGGAGCAAGACACAGAGTGAGGCCCTGCGGCCAGGGCCATTGCGTCCAGCAAATATTATCAGAAATAAATTCCCCACATACAAGAATGGTTCAAATGGCATAGTGATCAAGCTGGCTGATGGTCCAGAAATGCCACCTCTCAAGGAGATCGTTGCAAAGGAGACTGCAGATCTACTTGATCGTCGTCAGCGTCTCTCTGTCCGTGAACTTGCGATGAAGTTTGAGAAGGGTCTCAACACTGCCACGCTGTTGTCGAATGAGGTTCAGACCCATTCATTTCAGTGTATTCGTGCCAGTTGTATTTAAATTGATTCAATAACATAATACCACTTTTCATACTTCTATGATTACACAAATATCTAGTGCACTTTATTAGTGTGTTGGCTTATCCGTTCCCTGATGAATGTAGTTTTCCAATAATTGTAAGCCTGACCAAACATATAACACTGAATATTTTGTTTGACTTGCACACACTGGCAGGTTAAATGGAGACAAGTAGCTTTGCTGGAGCGGGATATCCTTTTGAAGAATCTAAAGAGTGTATTGGAGTCACTGAGAGGTCAGGTGACAGGCAAAACTAAGGATGAAATCGAGGAGTCTATATCTATGGTTGGTTTCTTCATATTCTTTTGCCAATTTATTGGGTTTACCTTTCCCCTTGACATATATATATATATAATAATATCATGTCTTATAAATGTATTATACATTTCCTGAAAAAATTGTACTCCACCTAACCTAGTTTAATGTGTAAGCATGTTTCCTAAATTCTGTAATTTTATTTTTTTTTGTCAAGAAACTCCCAGCAACCTGCTGAGGTGGTGCTCCTTTTTCATTTTGATATTTGATTGGGGTGTAACATTTTGTAGGTGGAGATCCTTGCGGTTCAGCTCTCCAAAAGAGAAGCTGAGTTGCTTCAGCAAAAAGAAGAGGTCACAAAATTAGCAAAATCATTAAAGCAGGTGTGTTTTACATTGTTGTATAACTTATGTACATGTGTGTTAATAGTTTGAGGAACGAGAATCTATTTACTTGAAATATTCCAAAGTTCTTACTGTCATGATTCAGTCATCTTGCACTGTTTATTGTTCCCCACCAACTTGTTTAGCTTAAAGGTTGCTGTTTGGTAGCTATGTTTTCAGAGGATACCTTGCTCAACATGTGAGAGATCTGCAACAAGCTGACTTAACTGTTAAATCTCAATATCTTCTAGAAAATACCTCAACCAGGAATCTTAAAGTTCCCAATTGATATGTAGATTTGAATTGCCATGACCATAGAGAAGGGGTTCTTATGTTCGACTGAGGAACACACCCATTGATCATAAAAATAAGTGGCCCAAGAACCCCACTTCTCCCTAAGGCATTTAATTATCAAAATTATAATAGATATATGGAACTATGTGCCACTTTGTAGTTTATACTAATACCCATTGCTGTTGAAGGCCTGCCTAAAAAATTGAATCTTGTTGTAATGGTATGGTAGTCCTTCATTTCACCTGACTTTCTGTAATTTAAAAATTGCTCACAAATCGTGTAGCTACTTATGTGAGCATAACATATGATTACCTTACTTTGGATTTGATTTCCTTACTCATTGTAAACATTATGCTCTGGCATTAATTTCCCTCAAGATAATGGCAGCGCTATGGGTTTAGCCATCTAGTCTCCGCATTGACATTGTTATTTGTTTACAAGTTTGAGGGTTTGCTCCTTTCTAATCTTGTTCATAGGCTTCTGAAGATGCAAAGAGAATTGTTGAAGAAGAAAGAGCTAATGCTCATACAGAAATAGAAACCGCTAAGAGTGCTGTCCAGAGAGTTCAGCAAGCAGTTCAGGAGCATGAGAAGATGTCCCAAAATACTGGGAAGCAAGTATGGGATAAATTTTAGAAATTTTCATCCTCATTACATTCCAATTGATACAAGCTGACCCATAAATTGGCTGCCTCTACTTTAAGTGAAGTTTAGACATACTTGTTAATACACTTGTCTTGTCTTACCCATCTATATTTCCTATATAATTGCATTATTACATAAACCAGTCTGATCAGTTCTGAAAACCTGCTTAATTCTCTGGACCTATACAAATTATAAATTTTAGTTACATGAAAGTTTATCTCTGCATATATGCATATTATTTGGAACTTGCAGAAGTTATTCCCTTTGTATATACATATATGCATCTAGTGGTTTTACATCATTTCAAATTTATAAACAATCTTATTTTCATACCGTTTTCAACTATGGACATGTATGTGATATCTATTTGATGTTTGGAAGGACATGGAAGAACTAAAGAAAGAAGTTAGAGAAGCCCGGAGGATCAAAATGTTGCATCAGCCCAGCAAGGTTGGGATATACCTACTATACAACTCAGTATATCATTGGAGTGTGTATACTCTCTTTGTCGTATGGTAACATGATACATTTTGCGTTTGTCTAGGCAATGGATCTGGAAAATGAAATACGAATTTTACGTAACACATTTGCTGAGAAGTCCAAGGATTGTGTTAATCTTTTGAAAGAGGTATTTTTTTATTGTTACAAATACCTTCTTCAATTTGTTAGTATACTGGAATTGGTATTATTTAGTGTACTGGAAGTAGTTAGTATAAATAACACAAGCAGGTGCAAAGGCACCATTTTACTCAGAAGCATGATGCGTATATGCCACTTCTTTTGTTTCGGGGGAAAAGCTATGGTACTGCTTGGATCAGTCACAAAAAGTGAACTGTGTGTCTCTCACTGCTGTACTCAGACAGCCTCAAGCTCTTTTATTGTCAACATCTGAAGTGTTTCCAGCAGTAGTGATCTTTTGTCGTGTCAAATATAAGACCTTGTTACATTACTGATTTGGAAATATGTTTCTGGCAGTTGGAAATGCATAAAAGGTTAAAAGAAAATGGTACCATCCCTTCATTCGATCTGGAAGGTCTCCAATGCTTAGGATCAATGCTACGTATAGTTGGTCTGAGTGGTACTCACATGGATTTGTCAAATATTTCAATCCAGTGGTTCCGGATACATCCAAAAGAAAGCAATAAAGAGATTATTTCAGGTGGAATCATGCTCTGTCTTTGTCTTGGTCTCTGCCTCTGTCTTATCTTCGCATTAAATTCAGAGTGCCAGTGCTTTTTACATCTTTTGTTTTTAACTTCTTTAGGTGCCACAAGACCAGTATATGCTCTAGAGCCACATGATGTTGGACGCTATTTACAAGCTGAAATCGATGTTGGCGGTGAAATTGCAGTAGCAAAGACAGCTGGGCCAGTAGACCCTGGTTTGTTTGACTGAACACATTTGGCGAGCATTGTCTGTATGTTTTGGTTATTGCATGACTAACATGTGTTTATTATTGTTAGCAGATGCTGGATTGGTAGATTATGTGGAGACACTCGTAAGGAAACCTGAAACTGAATTCAATGTATGATTCCATCATCCTTTGCCACTCTGGCATTTCTTTTGCACAAATATGCCATGCTGAGATCACAATTTTTTTGAAGTATTCAATCCTATTTACCAAATAAGTAGCCTGAGTCGGCATGACCAGTATATTAAACATAGCCATCTGCTGCTCTTAATTTGAATACTTCTCTTAATTTCTTTTGCAAGGGGCACATGCACTACTCTTAAACATGTCATCTGCTGTTCTTAATTCGAATAGTACTTCTGGTAACATAGCCATACATGATACATCAAATCCCATCAAGGCACAACCATTAGAACCTTGAACGGGTGTTCTTAAGTGCACCTTGTGTTGTGTCTTATTACAGGTTGTTGTGCTTCAATTGAATGGCATTGACCAGCCAAAAGAGTCGGTTCATGTACTCAATGTCGGAAGACTGCGGATGAGACTTACTAAAGGGAAGTCTGTAGTTGCCAAGGAATTCTATTCCTCATCAATGCAGGTATGGTACAATGAATGAGTAACATCATATCTTCTCTTTTGTTGTTAGATAGTGATTGCGAAGGATTATGTTAGATTTGGTGCATGTATTATGGCAAAAAACACGCCTGTCATTAAGGGTTGTTACAAAGGTTTTCACCAATATTACTGGTAGTTCACTGCACCTATAGTAGTCATGTTCCCTTACACGCATGAGTTTGTATTGATATATTGCTCTTCTTCAATACTGCTACCAGTCCAAGTTGACAAGTGAGAAGACTCTCCCTGCCCCTAAAGGCCTTGCTGTTTTTTGTTACAGTTATGTGGTGTTAGAGGTGGTGGCGAAGCAGCCTCGCAGGCAATGTTTTGGCGACCCAGAAACGACCTCAGCTTGGTGCTAGCCTTCGAGAGCACTCGAGAACGCAACACAGCCATCATGCTTGCTCGGCGTTTCGCTATAGATTGCAATGTATGTGCCTTCGCCAAGCACTATGTACGAGTCTCATACTGCTGCAACATTTTTTTCTTACCTTACTGAAATGGTTGCAGATCATCCTTGCTGGGCCAGGAGACAAAACTCCCTGGTGAACGAAGATGGCACCTGTGCTCTGCCGATCCCACCACTCTTAACAATTCGCGATTCGTGCAGTGATGTACATCTTGCGTGCACAGCGTGTTTGCACCAGTTCCTCTAATTTTCCTGTTCAGTCTGGGCTGTTCTGCTCGTCCTCGTGTTGTAGGTTTGTGAAAGAAGGCGCCGTGCGCACCATTTTAACAGCCTTGGCGCCGCCTTTCTATCTCACTGTGCTGTGTTTTTCAGTCGAGAGGGTTGTAATCTGTTGCTAGGAGATGCGACAGTAATGTAAGCTTGATGCAGTACACGTCTAATTGTGTTTGACATATGTTAGTGTTGATGTTGAAGCAATGATAGGTAATATGTGTGGGAGTGAGGGAAAAAACCTTGTAACCCGCCTCGGTCGTGATGTGAGCCCAAATACTGGTTCGTGGGTCTATCTCTTGTTCAATGATACAATTGCACGATTAGATTTGAAAATAAAAAATTGCCTTCAAGGACATACATCCACGTGCATTCACCTTTGGATGTATATGGGTCGCGTGTGCAGCTAGAGAGAGCACACGTATCCTCATGTGCATCTGATGCACATAGAGCAGATGGGACAAAAATATTAAAATAAGATACAAATGTAGTCTATGTAGTTTAATGTTTTTGGTAATTGTTATCTAACTTCATGATGAGGTATGAATTTGGTGTTTTTGGGGCACCACTCGAGGAGCTCTATATATTCACTTCTATATTCCAGGTGTCTATTTTTTTTTAGCCAATAGGTAATTTCATTATTCGATAATACTCTGACACAGGCGTTTGTCCTTATCCGGACATTGCGCGCCCACACCTGCCTTGCTGTTGTCTTTCCCCGCGGCTCGCTCCCACTTCGCTCCGCGTTCCGCTTCAGTCCTTCACGGCTTTCAAAAAACCCAGTGCAGCCCATCTTCTCCATCACAGTGCCCCTGCCCGCCGTGGCCTTCTCTAGTGCGGTGGCGCCGCACCCTGCCCCCATCTCGTGCTACTCCGCGCCTAGCGTCGTGCCACCGTCTCGCGCTGCGCTCTCATCAACCTCACCCGTCGCGGAAGGGGAGGCAGGGCAGGCCTGCGCCTGCTCCTGGAGAGGCCAGCGCCTACGCCGCTATCCACCTCGTGCCGTTGATGTGGCAGAACCACCCGAAATAACACGCTTTCAGAGACGTTCGTCTTTCACTAGACACTAAGCACCTCAAAAGTGAGCTACATCGGACAGTTCCGTCGAGCACGCCCCACGGGAGAACTCGAAACAATCCACATTTTACCTCCAGAATCCAATAGTGAGTATGAGCTTACAATACTTAGTTCATTTCATACAACAAGAGTTCTTAAAAATTATTTATTACAATACCAGAGTTCAGAGTGCGATAACGAAACAGCGGAATAAAAATAACATCTAGCGGAAATGATACAAGGATCCGTCTGTGCCCATCAGAAGAATCCTCCACACAAGAGCTACTCCTCAAGCTGCACCTGTAACAGGGGTAAAATAAACCCTGAGTACACAATGTACTCGTAAGATTTATCCGACTAGTGGAAATAGTTTTCCGACTCCAAAGAGTATGATAGGCAATATGTGTTTGCTGTTTTCTTTTTATTTGCGAAAAGCATTACTAGAGTACGTCCTTGAGATCAAGTTTTATTAGCAATCATGATTATTTCATTAGCTAACCATTCTAAGTAAGCACCTGTTCTACTTTCAAGCAAGGGTTGAGCAATCAGAACTATTTTACCATCTTTCATCTTTCAGTTCTTACTACGGTGCTAGACCATAGTCAAGTCATACCGTCTCACGAAAACGACAATTCGTGAACCAATATATCCTAGCTGGGTACCCCGAAATACACACCCCGTTTGTACCCCAGGCATAAACAGGACTAACCCATTTCACTCCTATCACGGGGTCTCGGTCCCCGTCAAAACTTGGACTCCAAGCCCCCATTCTTGAGACCCAGTCTCAATATGGCCGCAGGACACAACTCGTCACACCCACCATAACCCATACCATATCCCTATCCGGTCTCCATTTTCCTTTCATCATTTTATCATGAGAGTAAATATAATAATCACCTATTGTGAGTAACGGCAGGTTACTCACGCTATCGAAAACCTAAGCATAGCGGTTACTCGAACCTATACTAGGACTCATAGGTAGGTATATCTATGCATTTGGTTTTCATAAAATTCCTCTAATGTAAATGCATATCACATATATATACAGTGATTATAAAAAATAAGGGTTATGCACCGGGGCTTGCCTTGGGCAGGCGCGGTGTCAACTGAGTCAGTCGGTGGAGGCTCCGGGACTTACTCCTGCACGAGAATCTCCTCCTCGTACTCCTCGATGATCTCCTCGAACTCGCGATCGTCTGTGGTCACTATCTCTACCAACTCGTTCTCTACATGCATACGATGATGATGCAACACTTAGCATTTAGGCAACAACAACTCTTAAAATAAGAATACGCATAATAAGGTACTAAGCTACCTCTAATGACTAAGGTACTAAGCTAACTACCATCTCCATCAAACAAAGTGTTGGGTTCAACTAACAAACCCTTAGCTTGGCAAATTAAGGATATATCTTTATTTCTATTAGTGATTTAATGTATATTGAAACAAAGAGCATTTAACTATCCTAATGCTTAGTCTATTCTAAGGCTACAAAAATTACAGTGAGCACATAATAATACAGTGAAGCTACTATAAAAATTTTAGGACTAAAACTATTACCAATTTACCATAAAAATTCCTACAATGATTCATTTTAATAATATGCAGCACTTTCAAACGATTTAATAGCTCCTAGTATCAACATGTATATATATGAACTAAATATACTATCAGATAGATCACAATTTTAGAAATTTAACAAAATTTGTTTCATAATTTTTGGACACCTATATGATTTTATATTAATTACCAAAGATCAACTCAGAAATTAAATTAGAAAACTATTTACTAATCCCCTGGAAAAAGAAAACGGATTCTCCGCGTGGCCCAAAACACGCGGCCCGCGCGACGCAGTGCGCGCGCGCAGCGGTCCGCTTCCACGGCCCACGCGAGGCGCCCGTGCACTGGTGCTTTTGCAACCACGTCCTCGGTTTCCTCCTGAATCACACCGAAGTCCTAATACTATTTTCTCCCCTCACAAGACTTCTCACTTAAACCCCCCGACCTTTCCCTAATTCACCCGCGCGCACCCCTAGAGACTCAGCACACGGCGACGCGGCGGGCAGTGGCATAGCGTGGCTGCGCCGGCTAACTGGGGCTCGCGCCGGCCCATCAGTCGGGCCCACCTTCAACTACGGTCCAACCGCCTACACCAAGGAGCAACGCGGGGCGGCGGAACGCCGCTGGAGCAAGCTGCAGCGACGCGTGGCCGTACGCAGCGGCAGCGCACCCGCTCCGGTGAGCTAGGGCTGCTGTAACACCTCTGGTGTTACAAGCTCGCTAAGCACCGAGATTATGACCTACAAGATAGATTTAATAATATAGTGAGTTCGTTTATTTAGTGTAAAGAGGTGGTGATGAAAACTCGTAACAAAAAAAGAATAGAATAAGTTGTGTTAATTGTTGGCATGAAAACAATTTCTATGAACAACGATCAATTATAACTGGAGTAAAGTGTGGAAATAAAGATTTGAGGGTGAGTTACGTAGCTAGGCATACAATTTAAATCTTAGAGAATAATAATGTCAGCCAGTATTTTTGCGAAGCTCGGAAATCAAATTGAAATTAAATCCACTCTTCACGGTTAAGTCCGCAAACAAACGATTTAAGTTTAAATAGTGCTTTAACATTTTGTTCCTACAAGTTAGTATGAAATATGGAGTAGGTCATAGTATATTAGTGGGTTGAAATTAACAATGTTTTGACCTTTTAAAAATTCAATCAAAAGCGTTAGGGGATGTTAGTACTAATCGAACATCGAATTCTTGTAAGTCTGAAATGATAATTGACAATGCTATTTTGTCATTTAAATTTTTACCAAAATGCCTAAACACTAGCTTCATGTAAGTGTGCAGTTGATTGCATCAAGGTGAGTACTTGAGGATGGTATAGGTTGTAGTCACGATGGAGTCGCGATGTGCCCAAAAAATTGCCCAAATTCCCTAGAACGTACGGTGAATCACGTTTCGGTGCTCTGTTCGCGAACGGGCGTTCGGCGTGACAAGCCCATGTTGGCATGCATATAATTCCTCCTTGAGCTACTCCTGGGCCTCGGTGATTGCTTTGCCAGATAGTTGGCACTACGGGTTTGAGGTTAGGGAAAGTAGTTGAGCTTCATCCAGGGTCGTTAGCGATTTTTGGCTCGCTTTAAAACCGTGCGTGTTGCCGTTTCATTCGCTTGGATTCCGTGGCCGCGGTCACCACGCGCGCGTATGTGTGCCGATGTCGGGCGGGGGCCATGGCCGGTTGGCTGCTGCTGGTCAGCCCTCAGGCCATGCCGCGTGTCGCTGAGTGCACGCGATGTCTTATCGTCGCCTTGGCCGAGCTCCGCGAGCTAGTCTAGAGGCTAGCCGATGGCACGCCGAGCCAGGATTGGTCACCGTCGCCGCACTATGCGCATGTGCGGCTGAGTCATGCATAGGGCTACGCTCTGTCCTCTCCTTTTGCCTCATTCCACCCTATGGCACGTTCACAACCGCTCAACTCACCTACCGCGCTCCTACTCGCATTATCTTCAACTGCGTTGTGACGTTGGGCTACCGCCCGCACGTGTCCGTACATTGATGCGTGGGCTCTGGCCTTTGGAGTTCCATCCAAGAGCCATTTGAGGGACCATGGTGTCGCATTGTTTCCCCTGCATGTACTCGGTCTCGCCTTAATTGGCTGAGAACTCCACTGCCTTCGCCCCCACCATGGCCACGACGAGCTCCGGTCGAGCCCGCTGCCGCCATTTATGCTTTCCTGAACACCTTAGCTCGATTCCTTGCAACCACGGTTGGCTAGCCAGCCGACCCTCTTCGAGCCCTCCGTTCCC